CGTCGTGCCTGAGGGGAATTACATAAACTGAGGCCAGATTCAGTGCTGATACAGATTCTTGCTGCTTGTGTTTACGTCTGAAAAGCGAATAATTGGAGCTGAAGTCAGAGTCTGATTCGTAGTTTCTGAATCAGCACCTCAGTAAAGGGCTATTCCGGATTGATTGAAGCACCTGGGTTAATGGAAATAATTCAAAATGCACTGTTATTAACTGCTTTCTGACCCTGCACCTCGAGCACCAGGGTCAGGGATGCTTTAGGGGTCTGTTTGCTGCCATACCACTGATTTCAATATATGGTGAAAAGGCTTATTACAGATTAGCAGATTACTTCTTATTCTAAGAATAGTCCATTTGCTTTAACATTTTAAGATCAAAGGAAATCTGCGTTTTGTTTGAAAAAAAAGATTTTTATTATTTGAACATGCATTTACTGTCCAGGCTAGAAAATCTGGTCTGATGCGATTAAGATTTAAAAAAGAAAAAATAGGTTCATACGCCTTTAACAGCTGGGCTACTAATAAGAAACTAACTTCAGGCCGTCTCCGGGCAGTTCGGGTGTCTTAAGTTTCCTTTTACCCCCCCTGCAGGTTTAACACAAAGCCTCCGGCTCACCTTTAACCTGGGTGAAACTCTTACCTTTAGCAAGGGCCACAGTGGAGTTCTCTGTGTCGATGGTGTACAGGATCCCCTCGTAGCGAATCTCGGCCTTGGAGACCAGGCTGATCTTGCTACCGAGATAAGGCGTCCCGCCGCTCATGGTGGCTCCCGCTTCTCGATTCAGAATACAGAAGGTGGAAGGGGCGGATGCCTCTGTGCAGCTCGGTCAACAGAATGGGTTCTGGAGGAACTCTCCAGTGCGTTTCGTTTCGGTTTCTTCTAAAGCTGACGCCGCTTTGCAATTACAACATGGCCGCCTCCACCTCCATGGCACCGCTCTGAGCGCGGGGGGACAACGCGATTTGGAGTATCGCGTGACTTCGAGGGGCCGTAAACCATAGAGCTATGTCAATTAGAACCATTTTGAGCCAACGCATTTCAATATACAGAAAAATAAGTTTCCAATGTAAAAAAAAATAGTAATAAATAAAAAATAGCGTGAAAGATGGATAGACTAAACTGTTAATAATCTGCTTAGAGACAAAAAAAAACTGCGAGATTGATTTTTATTTGATAATAGATTTTACAAATGTTTTTTATATTCAAATAAGCTATCAAGACATTAAGTCTATAACAATATAAGATAACACTGAATATTAAAATAATTGCATTATCACTGGCTCTTACGTAAATAAGTATATTGAAAGCATGTGATTATTAATCGGATTAATTTTATTTCACTGGCATTATGTTTACAACTATAACACATCAGCTGAAGGTTCCTTTCTATTAATTAAATCTAATCAATAATTTTGATCTCGTGTCAGAAAAACAAGGTTCAAACGCTGCTTCTCCCAGTTTTCGAATAAAGTTTAGTAGAACTAGATCTATGTTCGGAAAGCAGCCGGATCCTTGGCGCATGCGCATATTCTAAAAACCGATTTGCACAACAGCGAAGCATCAAAGATGGCGGGAGCCCCCGACCCGCTGGAGGACATGCTGTCCACCGAGGTGGACGAGAAGGCGGTTAGCGACCTGGTGGGCTCCCTGGAGTCCCAGCTGGGCGACAGGAAACCCCCCGCTGCTTCTGATCCGGACGGGAAACGGGACGTGGCGGCGGTTGGCCACCTCTCAGGGAAAGCGGGGTCTTCGGAGCCTCAACAAGGGCACCAAACGGCGGGGTCGACCCGGGAACCGGGCGCCAGCCTGCCTTTATCCGGGCAGACCGTTTCTTCTTCCGCCGGGACAATAAGAAACACCGGGGCCGGTCTGCAGGCGGCGGGAGCCCCCCCTCTGAGCGCGTTACCCGGACCGGTAACTCTGAGCAGCCAGCCCGCTGCTAGCTTCCCCCGGGCTGCAGTCCTGGCTCCCAGCCCGGCGGAGACCATCCGGACCTCCTCTCCCAGCCTGCAGAACCTAAACGGCAGCCCGGTAGCCGCGAAGGTGGAGGGTTCACCTGCTCCCGCTCCACCCGGCGGCTCCCTGGGTTCCCAGCCTGGACCCCCTCAGTCCCCGGCGGGCTCCCCCGCTGTGACCCTGCAGGGCCACCCCAGCCCTGTGATCAGTACCGCCCAGAACGGTTTGGAGCCAAAGGTTTCCCCCTCTCTGCCAGCGGCTCCGGTCCTGAACCACAGCAACCCTCTGATGCACACCAAGATGCTGGTGACCAGCACGCCCGCTCCAGCTGCAGCCCAGGCCTCCATCATCCAGACCCAGACCGGCTCTGCGGTCAAATCAACCGTCAACGGGGTGGCTCAGCCCGGGGTGGCGGTGGTTAGGCCCCCTGGAGGGGCCACTTCCATCCAGCCTCAGAGAGCCGGGCTGATAACCGCCACCACCCGGGCTGCTGCTCCTCAGACCACCCTGGCTGTCCGGCCTCAGCAGCAGACCACCATCCAGCTGCCCCCCGGCTTCACCATGCCTCCAGGTGGGCACACTTACCTTTATAGGGCAAGTTACAGTATCTGATCACTGGCATACCCCTTACTAATGGAGTCCCCCCCTCAGTGAGATCTAGAAGCACAAGATCTATATCTAGCCACTCAGCAAAGATGGCTGCACAGCTTATTTTGGCATTTGACCAATTAGATGAGCCATTAAATTATACATTACCTTCTGTAGATTAAGTTGAAAGGGAAAAAAAGTTACCAAGTAAAGAAAAAAAATTAAAATTTAATTGAAAAGTTAAAAAGTAAAGTTAAAAGGTTAATAAGTCTAGTTAACAATTACATTTAGGTTTATAAAACTAAAAAAATGTAAATGCCAGTATCATCATTAATGCCTTTAATGTTATGTTGTACCAAAATAATGTTTTTCATGACATTTAAGAAGCACGTTTGTTATTCTTCTTAATATATTTGGGCAAGTTGGTGTTTCTTAATTAATTTAACCATCATATCTTAATTTTTACCATCAAAACATCCATATGTCTTGAATGTTACAAAGGTAATAAGGTCTTGCACTATTGGCTTGAAATTTGGATTTCCAAAGTATTTCACTGAGTGCCCTATAAAGGGTTAATGGGTCAGATGATGATGATTTGGGGCGTAGACTCACCCAGTGGGATGATGGGTTCTGGTCTCTGCCTCCTTGGAGACTCTGACTTACCTGCTAACTCACCTGACAGATGGGAGAGGAAAATCCCAGCGATCCAATGGTTCTGCTTGTTGATCCGATGGTTCTGCCTCAGGCTGGAGACCAGGACCCTTAAAGGAATAGTACACCCAAAACATGATTAGCCTTCATTTTCTACTCCCCCCCCATGCTGAACAACACTCTGGAGTACTTTTTTGATATCTCAAATGCATCTGGAGATCTGGGAGGCTTCTTGCTGTCTGCTGACA